ATCCGGGTTTTCCACTTGTCAAGAAAAAATGTAGATTTTCTCCTTTAGAGAAGAAAAATGTGGATATTCTCCTTGAAGTTTCCTCTTGCAGGCTGGCAGTGTTCCAGCTTGCAAGGGACTGCTTGGGCCTAGGGGGAACAGAAAGAGGCTGATTGAACACAGGGGGCACCATGTGCATGTGTGTGTATATACACATGCGCGTGGCTTGCAATACAGCCCCAGGCAGCGTGGTGCACAACAGCTCCCCCCAACTGCCTTCAGGTAACTCTATGGCAGAGGCATAGGTGACGCATGGGGGAAGGCCGATTGAGGCGGTGGTGGTGGCTCACACAGAGCTCCCAGGATGAGGGAGGGAGTGAGGCAGGGTTGGTGGCTGGGGCCAGGGGCTCTGGCAGCTAGGACACTGCACAGAGCCTGGGGCTTGAATGCATAGCCATGGGACCCAGCTAGGGAGCAGGATGGAGCCATGGGCAGCTCATCTGGGAGAAGGGGAGAAGAGGTTAATGAGGCGGCCAGCTCCCTGCTCCTTTGAACTCCCAGGGAGGGGTTGGGTGCCATAGGGGATGTGTTGGGGATACATAGGGGGGCATGTGACCCCCAGATTTGTATGCCTACAGCAGGGCATAGAGCTGCAGCCTGTCGGATTGGCACCAGCTGCCTCCATGACACAGGACCCTGCGTGGGAGGGCGGAGCAGGGCAGGAAGACTCATTGCTACTGCTGCCGTCGGCACTGCTAGGACCTCCAAGCCAGCTGCACTGCCAGGGAGTAATACTGCATTCTCCCCACCTCCCCTTGGTCCGTTACTCCTTGCGCTGCTGGCAGCACAGTGTTACTCTGTGGTGATGCGACTGGCACAGGGGTCCTGGTGGTGCTGAAAGGTGGCAGCAGCAGCAGCAACAGCAATGCATCTTGCTGTTCTGCTCCACCCTTCTGCACCGGGTCCTGCCCACTGGGCTCTGGAGGCAGCCCAGTGTCAGTCCAGCCAGTCTGCAGCCCTGTGCCCCACTGTGGGTGCATAAATTTGGGGGACATATGCCCCCAGATGCCCCCCTGATGCATTACTCACGGCTCCGCCTATGGCTGGGAACCCCCTGCCCCACACCCCCCCACCATACCACACACTGTGGGGCTAGAGCCTGGGGGTGGGGGACAGTTGGTTGGGAATGAGGGGACCAGCAGGGCTGGGTGGGATGGGAGGCTGCAGGTTGGGAGTGAGAGGCACTGGTGGGGACTAGGGGCTGTGCATCAGGAGCAAGAGGCAATGGCTGTGGCTTGGGAGTGCGGGGCACCAGCATATCAGGGCTGCTCAGCACCACAAAGCAGGGGGGGAACAGCTACAACTGGACCCACGTCCTGGTGAGCAAAGGAGACAGGGAGAGCTCTGATTTTCTATGATAAAAAAACCAAAATAAAATGCCAAAATATATAGATATTTATAATTTATTTTATTATAATGATTGAGGCACTGGTAGGCTTCCAAATTGCTTTAAAATGATAAATATATCAATAAAACATTGCGTACAACTGTTATATATACAGTGCTATTTCATTTTAGTAGCAGAAAAATGTAGATTTTGGGGTTTTTATTCAGAATTTTGGATTTTGAAACAGAGAAAATCAAGATCCCTGCTAATTCAAATTGAAAAAAAAATATATAAAAATGCCTAATTCATAAAACACTTAAGTAGCTTTATATCATTCTTGAACCAGAACTAAATTAGCCTGGAAGCTTGATCGTCATCTTGAATCTAGGATTCTTTTACTTTCAGGGCGTATTTACACTTATGGTATGTCTACACTGTTGAGTTAACATAGGTACCAGGTACTGCCCAGGTTTTGTTTTTAATTACCCAGGTATTATTATTAACCTCTTGAATTTCCACAGACAAAAAACTGACTCAGATTTTGTGGTCTAAACAGGAAAATTGGTATGGCTGGGATATAGATTAGAGCCCAAGTTCTACTTTAACCTGAGCTATGAAGTACCCACTTACTGTAAGGGCATGTCTAAGTGAAAGAATCCCCCCTCCCCCCAAATCTACTACAGGATTACTGACTGCATGAAGTTGTTGGTTGGCTCCAATATCAAGTTTCCTGTGGCATAAACTATAATTGCATCTGCTAATTCAGACAGAATTGAGCAAAATTCTCATCTCCAAGCAGTGCAAGATGAAAATAAAAAAAGAAATGAAAAGATAGACCACATTTACTCACATACCACATGCACCTTTCATTCCCAAAATTATCCAACCCAAATTGCAGTATGTTTTCAGCATAAAGTCAATTTATGTGCTGGAATGGAAGCATGGGGATGCTGCTGGGGACTGGTTCCCTCCTGGCCACATGGAGGAGGGGCATAGTTTATTCCTGAGCAGCATTCACTCTCTCCTTGCTGCTCAGCCAAAAGCTAGAGGTTTAAACCTGTCACAGTCAGTGGTGAATTGAAAGCAGCTTTTGGCTGAATAGCTGATCCAAAAGCTGTGACAGGGTTAAACTTCTAGCTTGTGGCTAAGCAGCAAGGGGAGGACAAGTGATGCTGCCAAATGGACTCTACCCCTGCTGCATGGGGCCAGGATTAGGCCATAACTCTGGAAAAACCTTTTTTCTTCATTCTGCCTTCCCAAGCAAAGTGCATGTTCTTTGGGGTCATGTGGTATATGAGAAACTGCATGAACTGGCTGTTGGCAGTGTTCAACCCAGAGGTTGGTTGCAATACCTTTTGGCAAGAGTACTAGTTGCCTAAATTATACTATTTTTAATAGCATGGTACTCATCAGCACTGACTTGAGAACCATAAGGTTCTTAAAAACTTGTAGTTGGAAACAATTCTTGTCTCATGAATTTTCAGAATTACATTAAGGATGGGTACTACATAAAAGCATATATAACACCCAGATAGATAAAAAAGAGTGAATAAAAGTTGCCATGAGTTGTTACAAGGATATTAAATGTAAGACCCCAGATTCAAAGCTTTAACAGTTTACTTGCACTTAAACATTTCACACTGTCAGGAAAATGAATGAATAGCATTACGACTGTTCTCTGCAACAACAAATATATCTTTACTTACTGGTACAAATTTGTGTAAATAATGTTATTGCAAAGAGGAAAAATGGCTTAGTAGTGTCTAACAGTTGAATCTTGATTAGGTAACTAATACACATTATGAACATAAGAATATTTTTCCCTACCTTTAGGTGCCAGCTGCAGAAACTGCTTGTGAAGCATGCTAAGCTGTGAAGTAGTTAGAGCACTATTTGCAGATGTCTCTGCAGGTGGAGGGTGTGGTTGAGGGACAGGATCTGGAATTACTTTTACTTCACTGCTAATAAAGAAGTCTGTTTCCTCTAAAACCATTTCAAATTGGATTTTGGTAGAACTTTCGATGTGGTGGCGTGCAACCTCAGTTAATTTTTCAACACTGTAAAATTGAAGTATAGAAATTAGGACATTAAAAATATTAAGTGGTAGTGACTTAGGGTAAGGTTTGGAGATCTTTCATCACTTGCAGGTTTTCTTAACAAAGCACACATCCTCTATGTGGATCAAGGAAAAGGAATGAACAGGAGGCCTGTTCCCAGTCCATACTGTACCTACTATATCCTGCTTCTCTACTAGCAGCATGACACCATTTGTCACTGCTTTGTGGGCTCCACGTAAAGGGGAATCTTGTCTATAGAGGGGGCTTGATGGAAAGATGACACAGCCATAGCAGAACATGCTGGGTGATGTCTATTTGTTTGAACACACCGTCTACCCACTATTTGCTCATCTTTTGTCCCTGTTCTCTCCGCTACCATACACTCCTGGATTTATAGAGCACTTCCCACAGGAAAAGAACAATATTGGTGTTTTGACATATGAACTCTGATTATAGGTGGGAAAATATGACCAATACACAGAAGATCCCCTCTTCATAATTAAAGGGGGTAACAAATATACCCATATTTGTCCAAATCTATTTCCTCCTTAGACAATGCAGACTAATTGTACCAGAAAGGATACCTTTTTCTTTTGTGATCTTTAAAATATCTCCGGATAATTGCTACACACACAGTGGCAGAAACACTAGGCGGAGTATTCTGATTGGGAAAAACATAGTAAAATGACCCCAAAATTTCAAAGTACAACTGCTCTGATACTGCTTCCTGGGAATAAATTACAGCTCTCTACCAGGATTCCTAAGTCCGCTAATTCTGTTTTTTAAGAAAAGACTAAGATTAGTTGTGTAAGACTTCCATGGACTAATTTTCCAAGACATGCAGCACTACTGGAAACATCAAGTGTTAAGTCATAGGATCTATATTAGCAAATTAAAGAATAATTTTAACTCATTTTTAAAAGTTACTTGTGCTTGCCTTATCTGAACAATTATCTTCCTCAGCTTTATTATAGTTTGTTTTTGTTTTTTAACGGGGGCACAAGTTCCACTTAAAAATTAGGCATATATTACCTGGACATCTCTGCTAGAAACCTGGCTCCAAGCCACTTTTCCATGTCTTTGTAAGTTTCTTCTGCTTTTCTTACTAGCTCTTCAACAAATGCTATTGCTTTTATTTTTATCAGCTCTAGTCGAGATTTTGCAGCTTCCTCTGTTTAAACAGTTATTTCAGAATTACTAATATTTATACAATCCAAAGCTATTTTTCAAACTTAGGCACTTAGAAGTTAAGCACCTACACCTGATCTCGTGTATAAAAAATACCTATTTAGGTTTCTCAGATTCTTGTATTCCTTTATATTTTTCAATTTTTACTCAATTGTAGAATTTTACAAAATGCATCCACGGTACAGATCAGAATATGAGGTTAAAGAAATGTTAACCAAGTTGATGTATAGACAGGAGATGACTTAGTCTTAAAAAATAATAATATGCACCAAGACTCATATAATGCCCTCTCACAAGTGTTAAGCATAATGATAAATGTATATAAGAAGAACATTGTGAATTATTTTAAAACATTTTCCTTGGACCTCAAACACAAGATCATACAGAAGTTAGGCTGGAAGGAACTGCAAGAGATCATCTAGTCCAACCAAGGAATTGTACCTGTGACCTTGGTATAGCACCACACTTTAACCAACTGAGCTAAACAACCACTGTTTGAAAGAGAAAGTTCATTATTTAATCTCTAAATCATATGAAATTACAATCTGGCAAAGAAAACCTATTTGTTCTCAGGAGGACAGGACTCACAAAAGAAAATGTATGCCAAATGTAAGATGTCTTCATTGTTCTGTTCCTGACATCCCACTGAAGTCAATGTAAGTCTTGACACTGACTCCAGTAAGCACTGGAAAAGGCCCCATAAGCACAACTGTCTTATATCCACAAAGTTGTACTTATAACAATTGCCACTTTGTGAAAATGGGCAGTTTAGTAGGGACTGAGAAAATATTTCAACTCTGCTTTGATTTATATTTAAGTTTGTTTTCACTGAGAGAGTGAAGGATGGAGGCAATACACAGGATCCTGCGAATAGAGAATTATCAATATCTTGAAGATGGGTACAGAGTGGGAAAAAGAAAAATAAATTGGGGTAACGCATATTGAACAGATAAGGGTATGAAAAGGCTTTGAAGAAAAAGGGAAAATCAAAGATGGTAAACTCAACTTTTTTAGAACTTAATTTTATATACTATAATTTAAAAACTATGTTTGCTAACAATAACTTCAATAGTTAAGATAGAAACTCTTACAATTACAGTCCTTATTTTTTTCTTGCATATAACTTTCCAAAGCATTCCCCTCTTGGGCTGAAATTTACTTCAGAAATCTATACACAAAAGTGAACTTATCTGGAAAATGTGAAGCAAATCCCTTTAAGATAATCTCTGAGACATACGAAAAAGCAAAAATACACATTTCTTGTTCAAATACCACAAAATATATACTAGTAAATGAGGATCCATTCCTACAATGTAGCTAAATGAAATGGCTATATACCTTCAAGTTCAAGGGCACTAAAATATTCCCGCCTCATTTTATGCTGCAATTCTTGCTTCTTTAATTCTTCTGGTGTTAATGGAACAGGAGTGGCTTCAACCACAGGTGCTGGAGAAGGTGCTCCTACAAGAAATAGAACCGTTTTATCAAAAAATAAAATGTTAGGACGTGTACACAGCACGGTACAATTTGATTTACAGAAAATAGATCCTTTCACGTTAACTTGATAGTTTTTATGAGATGAAAAGTTCGCTTGATAACATAGCATACTTAGATTTTGGTCAGGAATTTGACTTACAACTATATAACATCCTGATTAAAAAAACGAATCATATTCAAAATCAGTTTAGCACGTATTCAATGAATAATATTAAATGAATAAAAAGCAAGAAAATAATAGAGCTCAAAATGTAATTCTCAGTGGGGAATCACTCTCACACGGACAAGATTTTATAGGGGTGCTATCTGGTCAAAATGGTCCCTTCTGACTTCAAAATCTACTAATCTATAACGAACTGCAAAAACACACAGTACCCCTGCATGGCAAATTTCTATCTTGGGGCCAAACTGGGAGATGCAGTAAATAGTACTTTACTTTTACTAATGATAATTTCCCAACCTAGTACTTACACTAGTAAATACTAGGTTGGTTAATCAGCATCAGTTACCACCAATGCAGTAGGAGGACAACACTGCAGCAGGAAAAGACGGATAATAGAAAAGACTTCCCCCTCCTTTGTTTAAGAACTTTCAAAATCACTGTATTAGTTGCTGTTTTGGGGCCCACACAAGCATGATACATTACTATCAGAGTCATAACACTATCTTATTCTGTTTTTATTACTGTGTTGACAGCATGCTTGCCATCAAATAATTTTGACTGTTATTCAAACGTATAGAAAGCTGCAACTTTTCTGTTCCAAAAACTGAGTTGAAGCAGCTGCTGTGGTGGTGCAACAGGATGCCACTGACAGTAGAGCAGCACATTAGTGTCATAATAATGCACATGATTAAATGTAGAAATAACAAAAACAGCATGCAGTAATTAAGATCACTTTCCCATTCAGTAGCTGCTGCTGCACTGCCTGCAAGGTAAACAAATTACACTGCGCGTTCTTGGGGTGAGAGAAGAAGTAAAAGCTAATCAGTTCTTCCTATCCAGGGATATATATAGAACCCTCTACTTGCCATGAAATCAACGGTTTTACAATTAATGTACAGCTCAGGTCTGTTCATAGGTCTGCCACAGACCACCTGTGTGATGTTGGGCAAACCTCTTGGGACTAGATACAGTTTGATTTCTACAATGTTTAGATTTAGGTGTATCAGCCTGGGAAAGCAACCTAATTTAACCATGTTTTGGTACCCAAGATGTCTATACAGTCAATGGGGAGACTTGGGTGCCTTCAAAGGACAAAGAGAGGTAGTTGGTTATGTTATTCTGAAGACAGGCAGAAGGCAACATCTGATGAAGTACGCCTCGTGCTTACAAAAACTTATGCTATACACCTCTGATTTAGTTAGTTTATAAGGTGCAAATCTACCCTGCTTTCTCCAAAGAATAAGGTGTTCTCTATTGAGAACAGGAAATAGATGATCAAGAAGCCTGAATGCACTGTGTGGTTAATCACAATAATTTACTGCGCTGCCAGATACAACTTGTATCTGACAGGACTATCTGGCAGTGCAGTAAATTAATCTATTGTGCCCAAATTGCCATGCACGTGTAGGCAGTGATGCTTTACTGCGCAAAAAATTAGTCTGCTGTGCAGTAAAACATCTTGTGTAGACACGCCCACTATGTCTAGTCCCAGTCTGAGGGAAGGCACAACACCAGTAGTGGTAGCACCCATTGTTTCCTAAACAGTCCAATTGTTAGCGCACGCAACTCGGAAGTGGGAGACCTGGGTTTTAGGCACCCTCTCACCTTGAGGGGAACAGAACTCACATTTCCTACTTCCCATACTACCTCTATAGGCTGGTTTGGGTGAAGACCCTCCCCATCTCTCTTGTTGAAGCTAGGCCACTGGGTAGCCCAAACTGCATGATTCATGTATGGAGCCAGAGGGACAACAAGCAACAGGAAACATGATTGTGTAAGCCTAGTTGTTATGACTTGTCCAGGCATTGGCAAAATGGAGCCCGTGGGCTAAATTTGGCCCACCAAGGGATTTTGTCCGGCTTGCAGCAGGTTCCTCAGTCCCACCCAGCCCCAGCATGGGGGGCAGCCCAGGTCATAGTGCTTGTGGCCCGTCCTGCTGCCCTCAGGCACACAGTGGACTCCACACCTGGACTTCATTTCCCAGTAGCAGCAGCTCCTTCTGGCTGCTGCAGCCACTGAACATGGCCCTGGTCCCTGGGCACCCCAGCTGTCCACCCTGCACTCCCCGCCAGGTGTGGGACCTGCACAGGCAGAGTACTCGGCTAGGAAGCTAGGGTTGAGCCGTGGGTGGGCAGGAAGCCGCGTTCAGGAACAAGATGGGCCGGCAGGGCCAGGGAGAACCCAAGATCTTGGGGTGATGACCGTGCAAGGCTCGGGCAGAGCTGCAATCTACTGCCATCACACCCCTGCGATGCGTGCAGTTTCCTTGGGCAGGAGTGTGCAGGGAGTGAATTGTGGCTCTGCCCTGGCCTGGCCCCACACTGTCACTGGCCTGAAATCCTGGGGTGTCCATAGAGCTGCACTGGCCATGCACATGGCCAGACAGATGAGATGTGACCATGGCCAGGCAGGGAGGTGCGTCCAGGGCCAGGTCTGGGATCTTGTGGCAGTGACAGTGCAGGACCAGGGCCAGGGCAGAGCTGCAATCTGTGCCCTGCACACCCCTGTCCATGGTACCACTGCCCATTGCAGGAGAGTGCAAGCAGCAGATTGTGGTTCTACCCTGGCCCTGGCCCCACGCTGTTACCACCCCATGCCTCCACCCCATGGTCCCGGCCTCACCTGCCTTTCCCACTCCCAAATACTGCTCCCTGCACACCTGCAGCTCCATCCCACATATGGAGTTTTGGTGAGCTGTTGCATAACGGGGTGATGGATGCTGATCTGGCCTGCAACAGCTCAGCAAAATTCCCAATGTGGCATGCAAATTGCCCACCACTGTTCTAGTCCCTGCTGCCAGATCATTTCTATTTTTTAACCTATGACTATCTAAGATAAAATGTGTAAAGAATTCTAGAAGCAAGCAAGAGGGAACATGCCTCTAACTTTGAACGTAGGGGATTCACTTCAGAAAGTCAATCTCAATCTCTCCCCTCAAACTCTTTATATAATGGTGGTCAAGTGGGAAATAGGTATCTAGAGGTGCATCTACACATGCCATTAAGGCAATGTGATAAACTGCAGCACAGTTTGCGTCAGAGTTTATCATGACACACGTAAATATTTAAACTGCTGTGGTTCAGGGTGCACGTGCAGATGCTGTACCCAGGACTGCAGCATTCTGAGCCAGGGCAGAGTAGCCCTGGGCTGGGAGAGGGCCTGGGGGGTGGCACTGGGCAGTGCCAGGGTTGGCTGGGGCACAAGAGTGCCCCATTATATGAAGCTCCATTATATGAGTCCACCACAGCAAATTAGTCTACTGCACAGTTAACTGCATGTGTAGATGCACCCTAGGGCTGCACCCACATGAGCACAGATGTTTGTTTCCCTAGGGACAAGAAGCAGTGGTACACTTTGTGCCGCTGCTACTTGTCCTTGGGGAATGACTGTGGAACGCACCCTCTGGTGCAAGACAGGTTACCCTGGGTAGGGTAGAGGAGGATGGGGCCAGCAACTGTGCTGGCTCCAGAAGCTTTACCTGGGGTCCTGGGTGCCTTGGGGAGCTGCAGCCATGGTGCTCCTGCAGCTGGAAGCATGGCCAGCAGCTGGACCATGCCGCTGGCAGGCCAAGCTCCAGTTTTGGACAGCATGTGCTGCCACCATGTGTGCTACTCCGCTTTCTTGCATGGGTTCTTTTTGACCCTGGGATCTCCCAGGGTCAAAAAACTCCACGTGCTGCAAGGCAGCAGCAGGGGGAATGCCTGAATGTGCAGTGTGTGGCACCACAGATGGGTCTGCAGCGCTACGTATTGCACGGATGCGGTCGTCTGGATGCAACCTAGGTGATCAAACTGCACTGTTTCTGGGCAGTGCTCTAAAGCTCGTGGGAAGGCACTGAAAGGACTTTGCTTAAACTGAGGAGCTACTCAGTTGTATGGTCTATGAGGTGCATCTCAAACCAAATTAGATAAGACCAATAATTTCATTTTTAAAACAGAGATATGGACATTTTTCTCTGCCATTTGCTTATTCAGAATTTAATTTCTGCTGGACAGGGGCTCTCATATTGGTTGTATGCACAGTGCCTATCATATGGGGCCCTGATCTTGCTTGAGATTCTTCTTAATCCTAGACTTAATTTTAATATCTTTTGTTTACATATTGTCAGATAGGTATGCCATATACACAATGGATCAATAAACTCCATCCCCACTATTATAATGACTGATAAATTACACTGGAAAGTAATCTTTAGCTGCTTTATAAATGTGTCAACTATTTTTACTGTGATAAGTACTTGATAAGCTTTTACCTACATCAGGAGATTAAAGTAATCAAATAATCACTTTTTAAAAAAGTTAACATATTTTGACAAAAACGTCTATGCATTTTTCCAAATCAATACACAGAAAAAGAATAACAGTTAGTTTTCTTGGTGGTACTTTAAGATTTATTTCTACATCTCATTTATGAGATTTATTTCAGTCAGTAGCATTCTATAGTCTTTGAGTTTCTTTGTCTCTGCATCTCAGAACATATCACGTTTTTGGACTATCACAAGGAAATACAGAAAATAATTAAACTTAGCTTTTTTTTTAATACAAGTGCACTAAACTTTAACTTTTTTTGCTATTTTTTAAAAGGATCATATGCTTCAGTTACCTGTCTTTTTGGTGGGTGACTTTGGAGGTTGTTTCCTAGTATCTTTGGCATCCTTACCAGCTGCCTTCCCTCCTGTTGCCTGAGAGGATTTTTGATGTTCCCTTTCTTTTATTTCTATTTGCTGGTGTTCTTTTTCTTCCTCTGTTTCTTTTGACTGTATTTCAGCAGTTACCTTAAATTCATATTCACGAGTTTAGTGTAATATACAGGATTGATAACATACAATTAATGATTTGAAGCATCTGTCTTTCATTTCCCACTTGTGTGTATTGATGTGTATGTGAAATAAATGAGACATTTTGATTTGTGAATTTTATAGTGAGCTGGGATGTGCATTCTGATTAGGGCAGAAAACAACTGTTAAAGCAAAAAAAAAGGAAGAAGGAGAAGGATGAATATCATTAAAAAACAATGGTTTAAGAACCACAGGGAGAAATGTAGGCTATCCAGTACCCCAGTAAGCCTAAATTCAGTGGAGGCTAAGAAGCTGAGGAACTCAGTAAAGTTACTTTAAGGTATTCACATTAGAGGATCTAACTGCTAGATAGCCTTCAAGTAAAAAAAAAGCGTGTCTTACCATATTTGATATGGCTAATACAGCAGTTTGCCATGTATCAATAATAAACTTCTCATCCATGCCAAAACTAAACGCTACATTTTCAGAAGAATTCTCATCCTTACTGCTCTTCAACTGAGTTCCTTTGCTTTTTGGTTTGGTGGTATTTATTTCAGGAGAAGGAGCTCTACGAGGAATCACAGGAATCCTTAAAAAACAGAAAAAACAAACAAAAGAAATAATTCACTGTCTTTGTCTTATAGCACATGTTTATGTGGTTCAAAAATAAATAAAAGAGCTAGGATTCTACTTGGAAAATTTGTGGTAGCTATAGAAAAGGGAGGGACTTTGTCAGTGGTCAGAAGTACATGGGTTGTGAACATATATTTTATTATAAATAGTATTACAGCATTTTAAAATATATTTGATGTTATGATCTTACCTTGAATACTGAATTGTGTTCTGGGACCTCTCAAGGTTGCTTTAATTTAGGTTTAAGTGTCCACAACCTAGGGGCTGGGGCTGTCAAATATTAAATTTCTCACTGGTCCAGAATTGAATGTTTAATTTCTAATTGTTATTAGTTGAAGGTTTGTTGAGAAATAGTCACAATTTGAGGGAAAGAAGGAAACATTTCTATGGCAGTTTCTTTTGCATTGGGAGATGTTCACAGTTTGGAATATTGAAAAATTAAAAGCAGAGATGAGTGAGTGTATTCAATATAGGTGAAACAGCTATAAAGCAAAGTTATACATGAAATGTATTACATGGCTTAATATTTAAGTGACAGATATAATCAACATGTGGTGTTTCTTATCAATCTACCTGAACAATTTACATACGCACAAAAACAACTTTTTATTTTTATAGCAAATATTGCAGTTTTTACCTCCGTGACTTGTTTTGATCTCCAGATTGCTCTACGTTCACAATATCTAGTAATGGGATTCTTGTAAACTCCTGACTGGCCTCTGTTGGGATTTTTCCTTCCATTCCCCTATAATAGTCATGAAGAAGTCTCTTTGTATCTTGGAAACGGTCTACTTCAACCTTAGAGAGAAAGACAGATTTACATTTGAAACAGGACAGAACAAAGCAATTCTTGTTTTTAAAACTCAGACTATATTGTATAAAAATAATGCCCATTAAAATGCTTAATGGATGGTACCAAATGCAACTATTCAATCATAAATATTTGAAAATATGTAACACATTTAATGCATACTTCAAAGGATACTGAAAAAACATACTTTTAGAATTTTTCTCAATTTTAACATATAAGCCTTAAAAACAATATTTAGTTATTACATTTAAATTTAATCGACACACAACTCCTGATACATGGATTGATCTGGTGCACTGAGGTGCCCTCAAAAGTCCCTAGGGGGTTGCTCAAAACCTGTTTGCTGACTGTTCGATGGAGAAGGTCAGATATGTTTTCTGTCTCACTCTCTTTATCTGGCTGGGTGTCTCAATCATGCAAATTGTTAAGAAATGTTCACAGAGATTTTCAGGAACAGTTTTCAGAACCCTAAATGCCTGAGACCAGAAGATCATGGCAGCTGCCATTTCCCAGGCTAAGGGGTTTTACGCATCGCCAGGGCTGGGAGATCCTAGCAGCTGTGATCTTCCAGCCACAGGGGCATGTGGGATACCCCCATGGCTGGGAGCCCCACAGCTGACAGGGCTCTCAGCTGTGGGAGCTTGCTTCTTGCCTGATCCTGAGCTTCCCCTGCACCAGCAATAAGGCACAATGGGATCTAATGTGTGATCCCACAATCACACTTTCTGCCATGCAGAAAATCACGCTTTCTGCCATGCCACATGTGGCATAGCAGGAGGTGGAATTTTTGGATCACACATTAGATCCCATTGCACCTTTACCTGCATGTATAGAGAGACCCTAAAGTTCAACATAAGAACACCAGAGTCATCCAGTACATGCTAAATCTATTGTCATCAATCTTTCATTCTACCTCAGTTTCTTCAGAGTGTGCATTATAATGCTGTGATACTCTGGTTTTGTTGTGATATTTCTGGTTTAAATGTTTTCGTGTTATTATATTGCATACCTCAGGCTTCCTGACTAGTTTGTACCCTGGGAAAAAAGGGGTTACTTTGTTTGGAACTAGAGCTGTGGGGATCTGCTTAAGTGCTCTACTAGTTGGTAGCAACAAGGAGCTAATCCATCCATTTTGATAAATCAAATGAACTCTGGCCCACTACCTGAAAAGACTCCCTGCTGTTTCTGGTGCCAGGGAAACACTTCCCAGAAGGACAGTGCAAAAAGAGTCTTGAAAAACAAGACTCAAAGACAAAATGGGGAAGAGGAGACTGAGAATGGATGGAGAATGGATGGTCTTGTTTTTGTGACCAAGGACTCTGCCTGCTGTATTGCTATTAACCAAAAAATGTTGCTTTTGCTTTAAGAGGAGCCACCTGCTTCACTGCATGCGATTTTGGTGTACCCTGTCCCTTTGAAGAGGTAAAATCCCTCACTTAAAGCTAAGCTAGAAGATAGCACTCTGAGTGGGCCATGTACAACCAGGGAAGTTAAAGACCAAAAAGGCCAGGAATCCAAGAAGTCATGGTCTCACTCCCTTTAGACTAAAAGCTACACCTAGGTTGGCTTTGGGGGCATTTAAGAGACTGTATAAGACTGAGAATCTCAGCAAGTGGCTCTCTATGGAATCCATGACATGGGATTGACAGAAAGGTATATATTAACCCAGGGACCAAGGGGATGAGAGGCACCGGCAGGGAGCCTATGCTTGTACTTCTGGAAGAGGACCGGGCCTTTGACAGGCTACTCATGGTTGCTAGTCATACATGCTACACACTGGTCACTGGTCAAGAATAACATATTGCATACTTCAAATACTAACTATAATGCATACTTCAAAGGATACTGAAAAAACATGCTTTTAGAATTTTTCTAAATTTTAACACACAAGACAAAAACAATATTAATTATTACATTTAAATTTAATTGATACACAACTTCTGATAAACACGCAAATTTATTTCTATGAAAAGAGCTACCATTCACTTTGAAATTGTAATTAAATTAAATTATAAAGTAAGTTTAGAAAGTTGTTTTGTGCCTTTAATTCAAATTATGAAAAACCATTAATAACAACATAAACAAAACTGCTAAGTGACTAAAAGCAAGATTGTTAAAGATGTATGAGTGACCACTTTTCACTGAGATCAATAGAAATAGGTAATGAAATACCTTAAAAAATATTGCCCATGTGCTTATTGTACAACTTGTTTAATGAGGAACCAGGGTGGGGTTTATAAGGCTCAAAACATCTATACATTTCAGAGTGAAGCCAAGAAGCATTAGCACCTGTCATAATTTGATTTATTAAACCAGCAATGTGTTAGTCTCCAACTGACAAAACGGCACTAAATATTCATGGGAAAATGCACAAAACCACATTCACAATACAAAGGATAAAATTCTCATAGAGTAAAACAGACACTTGGCTAAAGTTAAGGATTAAAATTCTTTAGTTATAGCATAGAAACAAAGAAAAAAGCATAAAGGTACTGATGTAAGTTTGTTAGGGATAGAACACCTCGCTAAAATTAATATGTAAACATTTACAAGTTGACACAGTCATATAGCCACATGAGGAACATACTATAGCAATTACCTCCTATAGAGAAATTAAAATAAGGGGAGCTTTGAAACCAGAGATTATGTCCTCATTTTGTTCTTTGTTTCTAACGAAGTTATTGAACATATCATGTGATGTTGGCTTGCCACTTTTCGCTCTAACAGTTTTCTCCATTCTTACCAATGTAGATTGTTGCAGATAACATTTTTGGGGTAAAATTTTCAAAAGTGCCTATGTGACCAAAAGCCTAAGTTGGACTGACTGTCAGTTAGTCCCAGGCTTGTAAGTGCCCCAGATGCATATGAAAATAGGACTAAGCTAAATCACACAATGGCTTCTTAGTTTGGAAGAACTAAGAATGGAATTAAGACAGCATGAAAGAGCCACTGCAGTTCAAATTCGTATTTTACTGGTATCTTATTTCCTATTTTTACTGCATAAACAAGTTATAGGGGTACAACTTAATAGAAAGAGGATATAACAGAAGAAGAATGTGGTTTATGGAAATTATAATACATTGTTGTTCTGCAAAAGTCAGTCAAGAAAACAGATCTAATTTTTGTTTCTTCTCTTTTTTTCCCCACTTATTTTTTGTAGATGTCAAAGTAGAAGGGGTCATTAAGAAGCACCTGAAATGTAGATGACAGTGAAGTTGCAGAATACCCTGGAAAAATGTTAAAGACCTGATCCTAAATCATGGAAGTCAAAGTCTGTATCTCCATTGATTCCAAAGGCTTTGAATCAGGTCCTCCAGACCCAGAGAGAAAAGAAAAAAGATGTTTATAGTCAATTTTAGAAGAAACCAATGACTATGTCATTGAGGATAGCAACGATGATTATTAAGGGATGACACCTTGATCTTAGTGGTCACTCACATTGTTGCTGTGAGGCACCTAAACTTCACCTACATCTCTGGAAGGACCTGATCTGTTAGATGTGCCCACAGCATGTCTAATTTGATTTGATAGCATCAAATGAAACTCAAAAATAGTAGTTGAGCCTGTGCCCACCTTTTGTCCAGTAGCCTAGTGATAAGAGTTCTCACGAGGATGGGAGAGACCTGGGTCATAAACTCTCATCAACTTGAGGAGACTTAAACACATGAGGAGACTTATCACTTCCTAAAAAAGTGCCCTAACCACAAGTCTATAGGCTAGTCTTGTTGAGAACCCCTCAATCCCTCCCGTTTAAAGTTCCTGGGTAGCAAAGTGTGTAAAATCCTTAGGCTCAAAAGAAAAACAAGCAAAAGGCAGCATGACACTACAACTCACTGGGCTGATTTTTTTGCCCACGATGGGGAAATCTGTTTTCTGCTCCCTGCTGCCAGGATTATTTCCATTTTTTAACCAATGACTGTGTAAAGCAAAACATATAAACTTTCCTGGCAGCAGGGAGCAGACTTCAGATTTCCTCCTCCCTGAGCTACCAAGGCAAGCTTCTGTTTGTTTGTTCACCTTCAGCCCAATTAATCTTAGCTGCCCAGTGATGGAGCTTGAATAGAAATGGTACAGCAGGGTGAGAAAGACCCCCTAAGATTAGCCTGTACTCTGGTTAATTAAGGATAGCTCTAGAATAGTGAGAGATGTGGGTTTGAATCCCTTACACTTGTAGAGGGCTTAGAACCCAGGGGCACTTT